AAAAAAAAAAAAAAAAAAAAAAAAAGTAAATTTATCTTTAAAAGATTATCTCCTGTGCTAATGAAATCATGGCTAAGTTTCTCCTGAAAAGCAAACAACTGGTGTGTTGTCTCTCATTTGGGTTGAACAGTGGTGCCCCGTGGCCTGTACCACAGTTGGAATCAAGCTTTGGCACCCGAGGTCCATTCAGCAGAACAGACCACAAGGTAGGGTGTTAACTAGAATAGGGGGAAGGGGACACTCTTCCAGGAACCTCCCACAGACAATAGCACTGCTTCAGAAAAGCAGGGGAATTCATTCAGAATAGGTAGAATCAGAAATAATACTTGGTGCTCTTGTTCATTTAAAATGCTATGGCAGCGAGGTGTGGTGGTGCACACCTGTAATCTCAGCACCTGGGAGTTTGAGGCCAGCCCTAGGCTACATAGTGAGTCCAAGGCCAGCCTAAACTAAACAGTGAGAGCCTGTCAATAAATAAATAAATAGAAAAATAAAATGCTATAAGCATTTGCTCCCAGACTTAGTTTTTTTGAGGACTGGACACACAGCACAACTCTACTAAATTTTCAGGCTGTCCAACTTTGCATGTACTTTTTTTCCCCTTGTGGTACTGGGGATCGTACTCAGGACCTTGCATTTGTGAGGCAGTGCATGTACCTTTTTGGAAATGTTTGAGCCTGAAGGGATTTCAGAGTCTCCAGTCTGACCTTTCCCTGGACACCAGTTTTCTTTCTTGTGTGTACCACAGTTGCTACTGAGCTATACTCTTTCTACTGTCAGGGTCTTAAAACTCCAGACTCAGGGCAACTCAGCTACACCCACATGGTGACCCAGGGAGAGGCGAGGCTGGAGGAGACCAAAGCAGTCACTGCAGGGCCAAAGTGGAGGAAGACAGTTCCTCAGCCAGAAGCAAAACCCAACTCTAAGGCCAGTAGGGAGCAGAAAGAAGCCACTATGAGACATCACACTAGGCTCGGGAGTCAGGAAGGGACACAGTGTAGGGTGGCAAAACTTTCCAAGTGATGCTGCCAGCCTTTCTATGCTCACAACACTGCTTGGGCCCACAGCCAGGGTGGCAAGAAGCTGCAGTTAAGCATGAATAGAAAACCCAGGACATCAAGAGATGTAGCAACGAGACTTTTATATACGACTGAAAGGGTTAGAAGGGTTTTCTTTTCCCAGAGTGGAAGTCCAAAAGGGTATTTCAGGAATGTTTATACAAGAGCCATTTCCAGAGCTCTAAGCCCAGGTTGTGAATAGGGTCACATGCGTAATAAGATTTAGTAAACATTTTCCCAAAAGAACGGAGAGCTTGAGAAAAGATTTCTAGGAGGAATGTTTCTTTTTAATTGTGTCCCAAATACTATTTGTTGAAAGATAGGACCGATAAGCTTTCTTGAAAGGTAGGGCCAAATTATATATTTGAAAGTAGGAAAGACTAAGGATATTAAAGGCGGCAAAGTCAGTGTTGGCAAAATCCTCAGAAAGAGAAACACCTAAACTGGACCAGGAGAATTCAAAAAACAAGATGCCAGTGCCAGCTGTCTCACCACCTCTGTCAAAAACCTTGAACAGGTCAGGTTCCCTGCAGCCTCTACTGCCTGTGGCATACGTTGGATGGCTGAATACTGTGTTGTGCTCCAGAAGGTCCCTCTGGCTTTCCACCTCTGAGACTTATTAGAATGTCACCCTCTGTGACAGGCGAGTTTGAACAAGTTGAGAGCGTGGCTTATCCAAGGCAACTCGTCCTGTGATGTGGTGCTCTGTAGGAATCAGCCTCAGGAATGAGGGCACAGGGTGGTGGTGCCTGTGGGCTAGTTGGGGAGTAGGCACACATCTACATCCATGTCTTTCTGTTTCATTATTCATCTGGAAGATTTTGTGCATCTGTTTCCTCCCTCTCCTATGCTCTTCTTGGAAGGAGGACTCTGTCTTATTCATCCTGGCCTTTCCTACAGTGCCTGGCACAGAGCAGGCCCTCACATGTGCACTGAGTTGGGTTCTTGCACCTGCTTCCTACTTGCTCTTTTTTAAAGGAAGCAAGCATTCACCTCTAATCCCTCATGTATTGTTTCTCTTCAAAAAAAAAAAAAAGATGGAATTGTTTGCTGAGGTTCAGAATGTACCCATACGGCTTCCTAGTTTACCTGTAGGAGGTGTGGTTCTGTTTGGGACAGAAATCTGCCCTAGAGTCTGGGAGGTGACCTGCCAAACATGCAGCTTTGTAAAGTTCAGTTGTCTCTCCACCAGCACATGATGGCTCCTGTCATCTTCTCACACAACTGGGGACACTGTCACAGCAACCTCCTGTCTTTGTGGCTTGCATGTGAGAGGCAGAGGTGCCGTGGGATAGACACCAGGACAACCAACATCAAGGGTGACATCAGCAGCCCGTGTCTGGCTATGTGTAGCCTGTGGCCACAGCAGGTCCAGCCTTGCTGGCAGCTACACCACTGCAGTATTCCAACCGAGTTTCAGCTTTCACACTCTTGCCAACAGCTCTGCTACCAGAGAACCTGGGTGGGAGCGACTCTTCTCAAAGCAGCTTTGACTTCCAGCTACTCTATACACCTGGCTTTGCCTTGGTTTTAACTTTCTCTCTTCAGTTGGTTGGCTTCTTCCCAAGATTGTGACAAAGGAGATCATGTGTATCTCACAGTTTGGTTTCCCAAATTAGGGCTGGGGATTTAGCTCAGTGATATTGCTGCCTATCTCGCAAGCACAAGGTCCTGAGTTTGATCCCCAGTACCAAAAACAATAAAGTCTATCTCCTTGTATCCAAATGAAATCAAGGCATTATTTCTTTCTAGTTCGGGAATTTTCCTGCTCTAGCCAAAAAGCAGCAAATAGATTTCCTATTTTGAAATGTAACAAGGGATTGACATGGCACAGTTCAAATTGCCTCTTGTGATTTCTAACTAGGAATTACAAGGACTTGCATTATCCGAAGACTAGCATTTGTTTTGTGTGTGTGTGTGTGTGTGTGTGTATGTGTGTGTGTGTGCTAGCATTTGTTTTTAAAATTTCAAACATATAGAGGAATAAAGTGAATTCCTCGTCACCCAGCTTGGAGAATTTACAATTTACAGCCAGTCCTGCTTCCATCTTCACCATCTACGTGGATGACTCTGAAACAAATCCATGTAGATTTCACGTGTACATATTTCAGTATGTGTTTCTAAAACACGACTCGAGGGCCGGGGATTTAGCTCACGAGCGCAAGGACCTGAGTTCGATCCCCAACACCAAAATAAATAAATAAAACATGACTCGAAACAAAACCACAGTTTTGATGCCTTAATATTATTGAACCCAGTCAGCATTTGCATTTTTCCAAATAGGTCATAACTTTTTGATGCTTTCTTTATAGAATTCAGGAATCAATAAGATTCTCATACTGCAAGCAGTCAGTGTGTCAGGGCCCTAGTTACAGGTGGTGCGATCCCTCATCAAACTGTAGCTGGGCCCCATGCCCACAACACTCAGAGTTGCAGAGCCAGGCCAGCTCTTGGCCCTCAGTTGGTCAGGGAGTCCCAGGTTTATATCACCACCACCACCTCCAACCTGGGTGAGGCCTTCGCAGTGTTCCTGCAGGTGACACAGCCTCAGCCTTTCTCAGGTGCCAGGCTCACTCTCCTGCTGTAACCAGATTGATCTGGTGGTGTCCCTGCTTCTGGCTCTGCTCCTTGAAACACTCCTTTCCTCTCCAGCACACCCTGCCCCTCCTCAGCAAGAAAACACAGAACACAGCTGTTTTTCCTGGCCTCAGAAGGCCCCAAACAGTCATGGTCTTTAAAGGCCTGTCCACCCCTCCCCATCTCGT